GGGGGGGTGGTTCTTTCTTGCAGATGTATGTATTGTGTTTCAATCATTCAGTTTTCTGTTCACTGTTTCTCTATGTCTGTTAGCATAGCTCATTCTGTAAATAACTGTCGGACAAGTTTGCTTTTTTCCCTGAACCATCACATCCCTCTACAGACTTTTTTCCACACAGTAGCCAGAGTGACCTCTTAGAAACCCAGCCTCAGGGCCTGTCAGCTCCTCCTCGAAGCTTCTGAGGCTGCGGGGCTGTCCCCTGCCCTCCCCCCGAACCTGGAGCAGAGGCCCTGGGCCCTGACCCTGCACTGATGCAGCCTTCTTCTCTCTCTCTCTCTTTTTTAATGTTTATTTATTTATTTTGAGAGAGATGAGAGAATGAATAGGGGAGGAGCAGAGAAAGAGGGAGAGAGAATCTCAAGCAGGCTCCACGTTGTCAGCATGGAGCCTGATGTGGGAGTCGAACTCATGAACCATGAGACCATGACCTGAGCCGAGATCAAGAGTCGGACGCTTTACCGACTGAGCCACCCAGGTGCCTCAGGATGCAGCCTCCTTTTAACTCAGAGGACAGATTTGATTGTCAGCCCTATTTTATAGACAAGGCAGCGAGGCACGGGGACATAAGTCGTTCGTCCAGGGTCGTAGAGCCAGTATGTGGCATGGCAGGATTGGAACCCCAGGCTGTCTGAATCCACAGCCTTATTCTGTGGGGGCTCCCATCACACTCAGACTAAAATTCCACGTCCTCACTCAGGCCAGTTAAGGTGCCTCACAATGTGACTCTGCTGGCCTCCTGGCCCCATCTAGTGCCTCTCACGTTCCATCCCTGGGTCCCAGCCACAGTGGCGTCATCGGTTGCTGGGCTGGCTGAGCTCTTTCCTGTGCAAGAACTCTTGGAACATGCTGGATCTTTTGCTGATGACGCTCCCCCCCCCCCCCCCCCCCCCCCCCCCCCCCCCCCCCCCGCCCACTTCCCCACCCCCGAAGCTTCTGGCACAACAGGCCTCCACCCCTCCCTGCCCTAGCCTTTGAGTCGTGTTCTCCCGTGTGACTTTTACAGAGAGCCCTGGCGTTGACCCCGTTCTGGTGCTATTGTGTTTGTTTTCTTGTTTATCTTCTCAGATAGTGGAGTAAAACCCAGGGACGGGAGGGAGCTTGTCTGACTCCTTACTTTGTAATCTGTGGGCCCTCCCCCGTGGCCAATGCTCGTGTGCTCCATAAACATGGGAGGCAGGCAGGCTGGAAGGAATCCACCACTCTTGGGTTTCTTTGCGAGCCTGCACATGAAGTTCCACACTGTTGCTTCTCAGGATCCACAAGAATCCCATGGGACAGGGGTACCAACCCTGGCCTTTGGCTTGAGTCTGGCTTTTCACAGTCCAAAACACTGCCTGGTGAACATCCTCTTACATCATCCTTTGGCTTCGTTCATGAGTAGGGTTTTTTAGGACATATTCCTAGAAGTGGAGTTTCTGGCATAAAGGGCATGACTATTTTGAAATCAAAACATCGCATTGTATTCAGCCTTAAAAAGGAAGGAAATCCAGTCGCGTGGTACAGCGTCGGTGAACCGGAAGACATGATGCTAAGTGCAAGGAACCAGTCACAGAAAGACAAATAGGATCCCACATATATGAGGTCCCTAGAGTTGTCAGATTCGTAGAGACCGAGGGTAGATGGTGGTGGCCAGGGGCTGCGGGAGGGAACAAGGCGAGTAGTTGTTTCACGGGCAGGGTTTCAGATTTGCAAGATAGAAAAAGTTCTGGAGATCTGTTTCATAACAATGTGAATGTGCTAAATCCTCTGGAACTGGACGCTGGAAAAATGAATTCGATGACCCATCTTATGTTTTTTGTTTTTTACCGTGGTTAAAAAAACATCGTATTGTTGGGGCGTCTGGGTGGCTCAGTCAGTTAAGATTCCAACTCTTGGTTTCGGCTCAGGTTATGATCTCACGGTTCTCGAGTTCAAGCCCCACCCCACGCTAACCTCTGTGCTAACAGAGCCTGCTTGGGATCCTCTCTCCCTCCCTCCCTCTCTCCCCGCCCCTCCCCTGCTTCTGCTCACTCTATCTCTCTCTCAAAAAATAAACAAACAAAAATGTAAAAAAAACACATTGTATTGCTTAATGGCAAAACAGTATTAAGGTAAACTTTAAATAGGCATTAATAGGGGCTCCTGGGTGGCTCAGTTCGTTGAGCATCAGACTCTTGATCTCTGCTCAGGTCATGATGTCACGGTTCGTGAGATGGGGCCCTGAGTCGGGCTCTGTGCTGATGACGTCGAGCCTACTTGGGACTGACTCTCTCTCTCTCTCTCTCTCTCTCTCTCTCTCTCTCACACACACACACACACACACACAATAAATAAACATTGAAAAAGGGAATTAATAGAACACACCACCTCTTATCCCAACCGTCCCCAAGAAGCTTGTGTCCTTCTTTCTTTATTGCCTTCCAGACCTTGTCCTGATGCACATATATTTTCACATAGTGAAAGTCACGTCCGGTTTTCTTCAAGTGCCCACACGCGTTTGTCCCTTGCTGCCACAGAGTCTTGGTCACCCTCTCGGTGGCCGTCCGTAGTCCTGCAGTGACCTTCAGCGTCTCAGTTTTTCTTTCCTTTCCTCATTTAATTGCAGAGTATATCAAGATGGCAGATCAGTACGTCCCTGTCCCAGGAGGGCCCAACAACAACAACTATGCCAACGTGGAGCTGGTTGTGGACATTGCCAAGAGGATCCCCGTGCAGGTAAGTCAGATGGGGTGCCCAGTCTGTCTACAGGGGGATGACGCTCTGAACTTTGGAGCAAAAACTCACTCCTGCAGGTTCAGAAGGGAGGGAGGAGCCAGATCGTCCGGGACCCTGAAATCCGGGGCTGATGTGACCCCGGGAAGAGCTTTCCGTGCGTGACAGGAGGGGGATTCTCGAAGATCTGCATTCACACCTCTCTGTGTTTACAGGCGGTGTGGGCTGGCTGGGGCCATGCTTCCGAAAACCCCAAACTCCCGGAGCTCCTGTGCAAGCATGAGATTGCTTTCTTAGGTAGAGTACGTCTCTGTCAGATACGCGGGAATCGGGGTGTTCGCGGGATGGTCTGCTGGGTCAGGTTCTCTTTCCAGTGTAGCCCTGCAAGGTGGGGGTCACTTTACATTCCCACCTCACCCTTTCATTGTCACGAGGAAGCAGGGCCGGCCGGTGGAGGGGAGGTTGGGCAGCCCAGGGACATAGGAGGCATTACCACGGGTACCACAGCGGAATGATGCTGGAGCAAGCGGAACCCTCTGCTCATGCTCCTGCTGGTACCGAGATCCCAGCCATGTTCAGATTTCTGACTGGGTTCGGAGGTCACATTTCTGATAAGCCCACACCTTTCTTGGGCTGTTCTCAGGGCTTTGTAATGTCCTGGCATCTTAGGACCAGAGTCCCTCATCGCTATAGCTTTTTAGGTAAAACGATACTCTCTATGGCATCTGTTTGTTATAGGATATGTATTTGTAAACTCTGTGTGTACAGTTATGCTGTTGGCCATCTTTGCGTGATTTGAGGGAATCATTGACCATCCACACTAAATCCCCGTGTTGCTGCTTATCTCTGGGCCTGCAACACACACTGTATGAAGCAACTCAGGGCAAATCAGCACCTGATATTCCACGGGTCTGCTTAGTGACCCAGGCCTGTTTATGTTTTCGCTATCTATTGTCTTTGGTTGGCCGTCACGTGGGACCCTCATTATCCCTTAGCTCCTCTGGAGGTTGATGAGCCAGCCCAGCAAACTATAGCCCATAGGCCAAGTCCAGATCACTGCCTGCTTTTGTAAATAAAGATTTATTGAAACACGGCCCTCTCATTCATTTATTTATTGCCTATGGCTGCTTTTGCCCAACATTGGCAAAGTTGAATATTCATGACAGAGACAGGCAGACCCGCAAAGCTCCGAATATTTTCCATCTGGATCATTATAGGAGAAGTTTGCTAACCTAGGGTCTAGTTTTCTGAGGTGCTAGCTTGGCCCTTTGGTCTAACTCTTTGGCTTCTTCCTGACAAGTGAATTTTGCGCATGCCACATACCTCGGGTTGTAACTCAGATCAGGTTTACATTCCACATGTACTAAAAATGGCATACTTCATCCCCATCTGATGAAGTAGCAGACCGATAGATTTTTTTCCTTCCCCAACTTATCGTTACATTCTTTGAGAGCTAGGACCTGAGTACTTGTCTTCGTGCATTTGGTTGGCACGGGGCTGCAAGGGGCCATTGACTAACTCGATTCTGCCTCGCCCTTTGTTCCTGATCCCTCAGGCCCTCCCAGTGAGGCCATGTGGGCCTTGGGAGATAAGATCGCCTCCACCATTGTGGCCCAGACGCTGCAGGTCCCAACACTGCCTTGGAGTGGAAGTGGTAAGTGACCTGAGCCTCACTCTGCGGGGAGCTCTGCCACCCTATCTGCCCAGAAGGGGTGATAGGAATATGCTTTTTTCTTTTTATCCTTATCATTTAAAAAATTTAAAATGATGAAACCAATGGTACAGTTTCATTGCAGACAGCTTAGAAAATCTAGAATTACAAAAAAGAAATAGAAATCATCCATAATCCTATGCCCCGATGTCAAACATCTGTTACAGCCAAAGAGCCTACCTTTCCGGCCTTTTTTTCCTAGGCATATCCTTTAAAAAGCCAGAGATCTTGTATTGACTACTCTGTGACTTATTTTTTTTCTCACACTAATCCTTCTTTGTCAATAAGTACACTTTACAACATTTAAAATATCTGCATTGGATTTTATCGTAGAGAGGTACTTACCATAATTAACAGTTCTCTACAGTTATATATTTAGGTTGTTTCCAGCTTATTTTCTTCCGATTTTTTGTTTTAAGAGCTAAAAGTAATGGAATCTTGATAGTTTTATAGCTAAATCTCGATGTAGTTTTTAATCATTTCCTTAGGATGAATTCTTAAGGAATCCTAGGATAGAATTTCTAGGATAAATTAAAAATGAACAGGAAAAAAAAATCTAGGATAAATTAAAAATGAACAGGAAAAAAAAAAAGCTCAGGAGTGTCCTATTCAATCTGATTTTTTTTCCTCAAAGACAGCAAATTTGGGATGGAAAGGGTCTTAGAAAACAGCGATTCACATATAAATGTCATCCGTGGGTAGAATTGGAATTTTTTTTCAGTTCTGGTTAATATGATTGTTCTTGGTAGACGCAGTCTGAATGAATTTCTTAAGTTTGATTTCCCTTTCGAGGTCAAGTCAGTCCTGAGGAAAATTAAAAGCCACTGTGCGAAGCTGAAGGACTGTGTCTGTATGTTGTTGGTCCGGAGGCCAGGTCTTGAGAGGCTTTGGTGAGGAAAGGCCCTGTGGTTTCTGCATTATGTATCTCCACCATCCTCAGGAGGATTCAGCTTTTTTTTTTCTTTTTCTTTTCTTTTTTTTTTTTTTTTTTTTTTTTTTTTTTTTTTTTTTGTGACTCTCCAGGTCTGATGATAGAGTGGGCAGAAGATAATCTGCAGGAGGGGAAAAGAATCAGTGTCCCAGAAGACATTTACGACCAGGGTTGTGTGAAAGATGTGGATGAGGGCCTAGAGGTAAACATGGGGCTGGGAGGTCAAGGTGCTGGAGGCTTCTCATCATCCTGGAAACAGTCTACCTTCTAAAGAGGTCTGTTTGTCCTTCGCCCCCAGGTGGCAGAGAAAATTGGTTTTCCCTTGATGATCAAAGCTTCTGAAGGCGGTGGAGGGAAAGGAATCCGGAAAGCAGAGAGTGCTGAGGACTTCCCAATCCTTTTCAGACAAGTGAGCTGTTCTTGCTGAGTGTTTGGGAATTGTGTGCATTTCGTTGTTGGCCGCCAGATTCTTTTCATTTGCATTACCGTGTCAGAAATCAAGAGGACATGTGCGGGAGCTGGAATATTGCTCTGCTGTCTTCCGAAGCAAATGTGTACGTTTTTACGACGTCACGGAAGTCCGTGGCTCGTGTTGATCCCCACACCATTAACTTAGATGTTCGATTCTGTGAATCCTCGTGACTTTAAATGATTTCAGAGAAGCAGGGCCAGAGTATCTATCGGCTTGTGACTATAGTTGTCTCTCGAAAGATGGGACATTGTGTATGTTTCGGTAGTCTTGGTGTTTTCAATGTTTCTAGGTGATTGACTTTGGTTGTAGGAATGAACTGTGTATCTGCTTATTTGTAGCTGGGTTTTCACTTTGCCAACATTATGCCCTATTGCAGCTGCCCGTTGGCATTGTTTTAAAAAAGGTAGGCTGATGATCTTCCCATTCTTTTTAAAGACTTTTTTCGAAGATTTCTTTTTAAAAAATGTTTATTTACTGTGTGTGTGAGAGAGGGAGGGGCGGAGAGAGTGGGAGAGAGAGGATCCGAAGCAGGCTCCACGCTGTCAGCGCAGAGCCCGACGTGGGGCTCAGTCCCACAAACTGTGAGATCATGACCTGAACCGAGATCAAGAGTTGGACACCGAACCGAATGAGCCACCCAGGCCCCTCAGCCTTTCCATTCTTAACACGACTATTTTCGTATTTCTAGGGTTTCTTCCAGAACTTGTTCCCGTGCGTGTTTGAAAGAGTTGCATTCATTCTGCCCGGTGTTTTGTTCTACGTTAAAAAAAAATTCCAAGTTGTAGATCATGGACATTTTTCCCATGTTGTTCCAGTCTTGACAGTTATTTTGATGACGTGCCAAGAAGGACTTAGAGGGCGCGTGCGTTTACCAAAACGGGTCAATAAATTGCCTTTTAAAAAGGTTTACCAGATAAACACCTGTGGGCAGTGTGTGAATGTTCTATAACGTAGTGGTTTTGCTCTCGTGATTCCATTGGGCTGAACAGGTTTTTGGGGTATTTTGGGGGGAAGAAGTTCTATTTACAGGAAAGTTGTGAAGGTGGTAGAATTCCCATCTACCCTTCCCCTGGTTTCCTGCCTTTATCTTCTGTCAGCTGTGCCACATTTGCTGTAACTAAGAGATCAACAGTGATACGTTTCTATTAGGTGAACTCCAGACTTGATTCAGAGCTCACCAATATTCCCCACTAATCTCTTCTTTCTGTTTCAGGATCCAGTCCTGGATCCTCTATTACATTTACGAGTCATATAGGTTCTAAAGCTTTTTCCCCCCTTTCTTTAAAATAGACGTGGGGCGCCTGGGTGGCTCAGTCGGTTGGGTGTCCGACTTCAGCTCAGGTCATGATCTCAGGGTTTGTGAGTTCGAGCCCCACTTGGGCTCACCGCTGTCGATGTAGGGCCTGCTTCGGATCCTCTGTCCTCCGCTCTCTGTCCACCGCCCCCCCCCCCCCCCCCCGCTCTCTCAAAAATAAATGAAAACATTAAGAAAAAAGTTTTTTAAAATAGGCTTTGCTTCTTAGAGTGGTTTTTAATTCACAGCAAAACTGAGTGGGAAGTGTAGAGCTCCTGCATACGCCCTGTCCCCACACATGCCCAGCCTCCCCCAAGCGTTTTTCTTTTGATTACGTGAGTGCAATATGAAACTGTTCTTATACAAACATCTTATACAAACTACCTACTTTTATATAGGCAGTCATACAGTTCTGTTTTATTATTTTTTGTATTATAAGTGGGGTCATCTCCTATATAGCTGCAGCTTGCTTTTTAAAAAAATTTCTTAGGGGTGCCTGGGCAGCTCAGTCAGTTAAACATCTGACTCCTCATGGTTTCAGCTCAGGTCACGATCTCCCAGGTTCATGAGATCAAGCCTTGTGTCGAGCTCTGCCCTGGCAGCACAGAGCCTTGCATGGGATCTATCTCCCTCTCTCTCTACTCCTCCCCTGCTTGCTCTCTATCTTGCCCTCAAAATAAATAAAAAAATAAAATGAAACTTAAAAACTTTTCCTAGGCGTCGTTAAATGGTACCACTGGTTTTTATATCGTCATTAAGAATTTCTGGACGATTGGCTTTAAGCCATCAAAAGAATGAAGTGAGAGAGTACTATTTAAGAAGGAGGAAAAGAAAGTTGCAGGGTAGCATGTTTCGGTCCTATTTTTATCCCAAGAACATTCCGTGTGCCGTGTGTGTTCCTGAGTGTGCCCCCGGCTCTCACCAGCACATTGACTTAACCAGTTAACTCTTAACCACAGTCACTCTTAGCACATTAAACTCTAACGCGCACCCAGATCTTAACAGCACATTATCTTCAGGAGATGGGGTTGTGGGGAAATTGCCCTTGTTCCATTATAGACTTTTGACAATATCGGACTTAAAACATCAAGGAGAAGGGCATGTCTGTGAGAGAGGTAAAACAAAGCTAAGAGATCAGCAAAATCGTGGACGTATCTTCAGAGAACTTCGCGCTCCAGCCCTGGTCCCTCGGGGAAGAGTGAGCCACTCTGCTGTCCCCCCAGGTGCAGAGTGAGATCCCGGGCTCCCCGATCTTTCTCATGAAGCTGGCCCAGCACGCCCGGCACCTGGAGGTCCAGATCCTCGCCGACCAGTACGGGAACGCCGTGTCTCTCTTCGGGCGTGACTGCTCCATCCAGCGGCGGCATCAGAAGATCATCGAGGAGGCACCGGCCACCATCGCCACACCGGCTGTGTTCGAGTTCATGGAGCAGGTGAGCTCTGCAGAGCTGAGGGGGGGGGGTGGTGGCGCGGGGCGGACAGCCGCAGGGAGAGCCGTCTCCACCCAGCCAGCAAAAGCGCCCTACAGTTCGCGTTGCCAGAGCGGGGTGGGCGCCCGTGAAGACACGGTCGGCGGGGTGAAAGCCATAGTAGGGAGTGTGATCCCTGAGGTCCCAAAGGAGCTCCCACACAGCAGGTCCTCGGCATTTGGTGCGGGGAGCTTATAAGCCACCGTTGAGACGGTCCACGAAAACCGCCGGAAACCCTTCGGTGTCCGTTTCTGTGCAGTGTGCCGTCCGCCTGGCCAAGACCGTGGGCTACGTGAGCGCGGGGACGGTGGAATACCTCTACAGCCAGGATGGCAGCTTCCACTTTCTGGAGCTGAATCCCCGCCTGCAGGTGGAGCACCCGTGCACGGAAATGATCGCCGACGTCAACCTGCCGGCCGCCCAGCTACAGGCGAGGAAATGGGCTCCAGGCCCTGGGGTTGCTTCCGCCTGGGGTGGGGGCCCTGTCCGGCTCATATCAGCCCTTCCCGACTCTGTCTTGACTGGCCGTCCCAGGGGAGTGACTGGTTTGTTGCGGGAGTAGCACTGAGATCCACACAGGCTGAGAAGCTTCTGAGAAGTGGCTCGTCCCCTTTGTCTGGCTATAGACCTCTTTGAGAAACGGGCAGAAGCCTGTTGAACTTCTCCCTGGGAAAAAACTATTTTATACAGTTCCAGGGCATTTGCGGACCCCCTGTACCCGTTCATAGTCCCTCCCAGAGGAGTGTGTCTCAGCCTTTTTTTTTTTTTTAACTTTTTAAAAAAGTTTATTTATTTTTGAGAGAGAGAGCACGAAAGGGCCAGAGAGAGAAGGAGAGGGAGAGGGAGAGAGAGAGAATCCCAAGCAGGCTCTGCACCGTGAGCGTGGGGCCCATCGTGGGGCTCAAACTCACAAACCGCGAGATCATGATCTGAGCCAAAATCGGACGCTTAACTGACTGAGCCGCCCAGGTGCCCCTCAGCCTTTTTTTTTTCATTACAGCTCCCTTCAGGAGTCTTTGTAGATACTTTTCCCCCTAATTCCTCTCCTTATGAAATTTTAACATCACAGATATACCTGTTTTTACTATAGATACATCCACATCTTACACATACAAAGAGTAAGATTATTTCATCCCCAGGAGCAAATATTTGCCCCCTTGGGGGGCAGTATCACCCCCCGTCGAGAACTTGTGACCCACAGTTAGGAACTCCTGCACCAGTGGGAACTCGAATTTGTAAAATATGTGTGTCTTTCCTTGCTTCCTCCCTCCACCAGCATTTTTATTGTTTTTCTATTTTGTGGGGTTTTGTTTTTTTTAGTTTGGAAAATTTCAGGAATGTTGCAAGGATAGTGCAATTAACACCCACCCTCTACCCCTCAGTCCACCATTGTTAGTCTCTGCCAGGTTTGTGTTGTATTTGTGTGTCTGTTTAATTTTTTTTCAGCTTAACTTTTTTTTTAATGCTTTATTTACCTTTGAGAGAGAGAGAGAGAGAGAGAGAGAGAGAGAGAGAGACACAGAATCCGAAGCAGGCTCCAGGCTCCGAGCTGTCAGCGCAGAGCCCGACGCGGGGCTCGAACCCACGAACTGTGAGATCATGACCTGAGCTGAAGTTGGTTAAGCAACCAATTGACCCACCCAGGCGCCCCGCAGCCTATGTTTTGAGTGATGCTTTGACTTGAACCTTCATGGCACTTTGCCTCTAAATCCTCGAGTCAAAGGAACTCCCGAGAATAAGATCATTCTAAAAAAAAAAAGATCATTCTGGCACAACACCACCATAAAATGATGACGCTTGGTAAAGCACTGATGTCACCACACGTCTATCTAAAATTAAGAAGTATAAAATTAAAAAATTGATAAAATTTAGGGGCTCTTGAGTGGCTCAGCCAGGAGATCATCGACTCTTGATCTCAGGGTCATGAGTTCAAGCCCAGCATTGGGCGTGGAGCCTACTTAACAACAAATTTATACAATCTAATACCATTAAGAGTTTCCCCTCTGTTCCAGTAATCTCTTTTTATGGCTATTTTTTTGCTTATTTAAAAAACCCAGGATCCATTCCCGGACCTCACATTCTGTTTCACCGCCACAACTTTTGAGTCTCTCCTCTGTCCTCAGACATACTTTTTTGTTCTCCATGTTGGTGTTTGAGAAGAGTTCAGGCAGAACGCCCCTCGGTGTGGATTTGTCTGATGGCTTCTTCCTGGTGGAAAAGTCCCGTAAGGGTTTTGGCAGCTTACCACCTAGGCGGGCGTTGGGCCCTTCTTAGTGCATCTCATCAGAAAGACCCAGGAGGTTAAATTTGTGTCTTATACTCATTCTGCAGGCCCAGGTTCCTCTGAGTCCTTTTAAAACCTTTAACTTGGGGCCCCTGGGTGGCTCAGTCAGTTAAGCGGCTGACTTCG